TGAAGTCCAGTGTGAAGTTTCCACAGTCTGTGTTGATTTGGGGAGCCATGTCATCTGCTGGTGTTGGTCCACTGTGCTTCATTAAGTCCAGGGTCAACGCAGCCGTCTACCAGGAGATTTTGGAGCACTTCATGCTTCCTTCTGCAGATGAGCTTTATGGGGATGCTTATTTCATTTTCCACCAGGACTTGGCACCTGCCCACACTGCCAAAAGCACCAAAACCTGGTTCAATGACCGTGGGATTACTGTGCTTGATTGGCCAGCAAAACTCGCCTGACCTGAACCCCATAGAGAATCTATGGGGCATTGCCAAGAGAAAGATGAGAGACATGAGACCGAGCAATGCAGAAGAACTGAAGGCCGCTATTGAAGCATCCTGGTCTTCCATAACACCTCAGCAGTGCCACAGGCTGATAGCTTCCATGCCACGCCGCATTGAGGCAGTAATTGCTGCAAAAGGGGCCCAAACCAAGTACTGAGTACATATGCATGCTTATACTTTTCAGAGGTCCGATATTGTTCTATGTACAATCCTTGTTTTATTGATTGCATGTAATATTCTAATTTTCTGAGATTGTGGATTTGGGGTTTTCATGAGCTGTAAGCCATAATCATCAAAATTATGACAAATCACGGCTTGAACTATCTTGCTTTGCATGTAATGAGTCTATCTCATATATTAGTTTCACCTTTTAAGTTGCATTACTGAAATAAATGAACTTTTGCACGATATTCTAATTTTTCAAGTTTTCACCTGTATGTCTGCTGATACATGTGTTACAGTGCCTTGAGGGCCACGGGCTTTGTATGGTGCTTGGATCCATGATGGATGCAAAACAAAAAAAACGCATGTACCGCAAATGAAACGCATGCACAACTGTGCAATGTGTATCAATATGCATAATTGTGAACAGCAAAGTCGATCAAACCATTTCTTCCTCCTGCTCCCCTCCGGAAGAGTTCTGTAAAATATACTAGCTAAAATTATATTGTAAGAGACAAAGGGTTGGGACTGATGAGGGGATGTGGGGACATGGGGTTGAGGACATTCTGTGATGAAGGCGATTGGTGACAAAACGCGTCAGTAGGAAGTGACGTCAGACGCAAGTGACATCAGACACAAACCGCAAGTACAGAGGCAGCCATTTTGGAAAAGGTTTTTATGTCAGTTTTTAACCACTTCCATGTATATAAACGGCCGGACAGGAGCAGTGCAGGGGTGGGTAGCCGTTTATAAACATCCCTCCCCACTTCCCTGCTTTGTGTGCGCTCCCTGGGAGCATGCAGCACCACGATCCAGTGCCCACTGTCAGCATCGTCAGAGGAATAGAGCATTCAGGAGTCATCCATTTCCCCTGATGATGCTAATTGGTGGCAAAACATGTTGGGTGGGGCCTAGCCGGTGATGTCATATACATGCTGACAATCGAGGCCTTGGTGTCTGTTTCTTATGTGCTCTTCTACTCCTTATGTTTGGGAGTATATGTCTGCTTATTTTAAATTAAAAAATTGTTTACCGATATAACACCATTGCGGTCCTTTGATCTTCTTCTCCGGAGGGAATATCTGTTTATTACACAAGAAGATCCTTCTGGTGTCTGTCGTATTATGCTGAGGAGGCGGTGAACGTATCCTCAGTAATCAGTACGAGCACACAAGCGTGTGTTGATCTCTGGAAAGTGAGATCAATATTTTTGGTAAGAGGCTGATCATTTATTAGGCGGAGGAATCACATTTGCTCACCACTTTTCAAGATTTGATTGAATCTCGGAGTATATATGTTGGACTGAGCACTTTTTCACTTTTAATATGTCTGGTTTCACTTTTCATAGGCACTTATTTATTGTAAAGTTGTGGGTTGTTAGCTTTTTTTGTATTAACCAATTCCCGTCCGGCCCATATATATAAAACGGCCGGACAGGAGCAGTGCAGGGGCTGTTTATAAACGTCCTCCCCATTCCCTGCTTGTGCGTGCTCCCTGGGAGCGTGCAGCACCGCAATACGGTGCCCGCTGTGTCCTCCGGCTCAACCAGCGGCTCATGCGGTGGTAATAATGCTACAGTTTAACCACTTCCCGTCTGGCCCATGTACATAAACGGCTGGACGGGAGCACTGCAGGAGCGGGTGGCCCTTTATAAATGGTGTCCGCATTCACTGCCTGTGCACACTCCCTGGGAGTGTGCGGCACCGCGATCCAGTGCCCGCTGTGTCCTGTGTGATCCACCGATCGTGGTGCAGGACCTCTGTGTGAGGTCCCGATCATGTGATCACTGATAGGCCAATCAGTGATCATGTGAATAGCAGTAAGCAAGATGTTACTTCTGACATCATTGCTTACTACGTGTGAAATCTGTGAATGATCACAGAGGTCACATGGTATAAGCTATTCACAACAGCCTTGTACCATTTGACAAGCTGTGACCCATCACAGCTCACACAGTATTTCTCAGTGGCTGCAAGAATGCAGCCAGAGAGGAGAAATGATTGCTTTTACAGCCTTTATGGGTGTAAAAACAATCAGTGTAAAAAAAAAAAAAAATTTTTATCATGGTGACACTGTACTGCTAGGGTGACAGTATATTAAAGAAAAAAACATGAATAATAATATAAAAAAAATTAAATAAAAATGTAAAAAAAAAATTAGAAAAATTATAATTTTTTGGTTATAAACTAATTTGGGTTATTTTGTTTTACTAAAAAGATAACTGAATAAATGTTGGCCAAACTTTTGAAGAAAGATTATTTATTTGCAAACTTTTATAAGAAAAACATTTTTTTGGACTTTTTCATTTATATAGCAAAAAAAATAAAAAATCCCAGTGATGAATAAATACCACCAAAATAAAGTTTTATCTGTCTCAAAAAAATGCAAAAAAAAATTAATATGGGTACAGTGTTGCATGACTGCGCAATTGTCATTCAAAGTGTGAAAGCACTGAAACTGAAAATTGGCCTGGACAGGAGGGGGGTGTTTGGACTTGAAGTGGTTAATGTAAGCAGGATCTGAAGGTAAATAAAGCATTTTTGTACATACTGCTGCACTATGGTTCCTATGTTTAAATGAGATATATCTGGAGGCTGTGGCGAGGTGGAACACCTAGAAGGAATTGGAAGATACCTGAGAACGGGGAATTTTGTGGAGACTGGAAATGTGTGCTTACAACTATAGTCCGGTAAGGTGTATGACCTGAAGGGAGAGGTGTGGAGCACAGATGGTGGTTGGAATTTGCACGTATGGTGGTAGAGTCACTTATTTCATGTGAGTTTCACTTTAATGTGCAGGTTTTTGAGTTTTAAAGAGATGTTACACTATGTACGTAATTTCTTTTTGGGAGTAGATTTTGAGTGAAGAGGATACTTACGTGACAAGTTTTTTAAGAGACATACACATGCAGATTTATATTGATGCAAAGAAATATTCTATTGATGGTAAGAGTACTTGGGAAAGAAAGTGGATCATTTGCGGTATGACGTGGTGAAGAGATTTTTCACTTGTGAAGTGAGCACAGTCATTTATTGCACATGTAATAAACAAACCATATGTTTGTTTCTGATTTTATGCAAGTCGGGAGTATACGCAGTGGATGGGACGGAGATAAGGAGCAGGAAATAATATACAAGGCTTTCTTGCATGAAGTATGTGGTGAGAGCATAAGGACTGTTAAAAGGACTGAGGGAGTTTATAGAGCACTGAATTTTTGTACAGCTAGAGAACTGACCACGCTGTGCTCTCATGCCTTGTATGGTCAGTTTTTAATAGGAAAGCAGAGGGACTGGCAGGAACACCAAGGATTTCACACAAAGGAAACAATACAAAGAGAACAGGATACTTTTTCATACAAACACATGGTACAGCTGGCACATATCAGGAATATTAAATGTTGGGTTTACATATTCTTTAAGTGGGCTTAAATACCTGGCAGGTGGTGTGGCTTCTGTATCATTTGATTGTAGTGATTGGCTCTCACAACAGTGATATGGACGGGAGCCTGTCCTGCTGACTACCAAACAGAAGCTATGTCATGATGGTTAAATCAGAATACTGGGAGCAAGCACACGCTCAGCACACAAGTCATGCCGCTGTGGGACTCATATGTGTGGCAGCTGGGTGTAAAGCCCACTGTTTTTGCCGGCGCATGTATGCGTTACATGGTTGTCAAGAGGTTAATCATAAGGACCCTGGTCTTAACAACTGAGCTCTTTGGTGTTGAAACTAACAGTAGTGTATGGGGTACTTCCTTCAGTGCAACGCACGTTATTGTATTGTGCTGCAATGCATGGCCGCCAACAGGTGCTTTGGGGTGCCCTTGAGAATGAATTGCAGTGCAATGTACCAGAACACCTAATGATAGCATGTGCTAAACACACAGAATCGGATGCATTAACGCAACGCTATGGTGTGACCGGGCCTTGAAACTATTTTTTGGGACACTGACGCTGAAAGCCATGCATCCTCCATTGTATCTTGGGTGTTTAACAGTTTCATCCAATGTGATTTTTAACTACTGGCCTAGAGGGCACTTATACCCCCTTCCTGCCCAGGCCAATTTTCAGCTTTCAGTGCTGTCGCACTTTGAATGACAATTGCGCGGTCATGCAACACTGTACCCAAACAGCATTTTTATTATTTTTTTGAGACAGATAGAGCTTTCTTTTGGTGGTATTTAATCACCACTTGTTTTTTTATTTTTTGCTAAACAAACTAAAAAGACTGAAAATTTTTACAAAAAAAGTTTTTCTTAGTTTCTGTTATAAAATTTTGTAAATAAGTAATTTTTCTCCTTCAGTGATGTGCACTAATGAGGCTTCAGTGATGAGCACTGATAGGCTGCACTGATGGGCACTGATAGGTGGCACTGATGAGGAGGCACTGGTAGGTGGCATTGATGGGAATTGACAGGCATCACTTGTGGGCATTGACAGACATCACTGATGGGCACTGAAAGGCAGCACTCATATATGGTACTGATAGGCGGCACTGATGGGCACTGATAGGTGGCATTGACTGGCACTGATAGTCAGCACTAATTGGAACTTTTAGGCGGCACTGATGGGCAATGACAGGTGACACTGATAGGCAGCACTGACTGGCACAGATAAGCAGCACTGACTGGCACTGATTGGTGGCATTGATTGGCGGTACTGATAGGCGACAGTGGCTGGCACTGATAGGCGGCACTGACTGGCACTGAAAGGCAGCTCTGATGGGCACTGATATGTGGCATCGATGTGCACTAGTAGGCACCTTTTATGTGGCATTGATGTGCACTGGTATGTGGCATTGATGAACACTGAAAGGTGGCACTGATGGGGCTACACTGATCATCAGTGGCCTGATGATCAGTGTAGATGTCCCCTCTGAGGAATGTTGACTACCAGTTCTCCTCTCCTCACGCGCTGTCATCATGAGGAGAGGACTGCGATAAGTGGCATTTCCTTGTTTACATGCGATGAGCTGTGATTAGACACAGCTGATCACATGACAGAGCCGACGTCATTAGTTCTTTACTCTGATCGGTGATCCGCTGTGTCCCAGGGACACAGCGCACGACATATCGCTGCACTGCACGCCACCAGGGGCTCAGTCAGAGTGGGAGGACGTCATATGATGTCCTCCCTGAACGAAAGAACTGCTGCCCGCCTGTCATTTCCTTATATGGCAGGTGGGAGGCGGTTAAAGCTGAAACACGACTTTTTGGAAACTATAAACACTCAGTTGAAAATCAAATTTAAAAAAATAAAAGCTTGAAGCCTCTTTCAGACAGCTGTTCTCAATTCTGATCAACATGGGATCCATTAACAGATCTGCTGAATTGGAGCCAAAAGTAAAAGTAAAACCAAAGTGTTTTCTTTCAGTTTTAGGTCAAGCAGGGAGGGGAGGTGTTAGAGCCTCTGTCAGGTTCCTATTGATGTCTGTGTCCCTCACATTTACTCTGTTAGTCTTGTGATCATTGTCACCCAAACCCCCCCCCCCCCAACAAAAAACCCCAAAAAAAACAAAACCAAACCAAACAAAAAAAAAAACCCCAAAAAAATACACTGCATCTTTTCACAGTAGAAGTTTGACCCATTTCAGCTTCCATAGCTTGTAGCCTATGAACTCTGATTACATCATCAGCCCTGCTCATAGCAGCCATTTCCTCATCACAGACTCCATTCCTGTGGTAACCACGCTGCTGGGTAGGATCCAACCCTCACATTCAGGCTCACAATAGCATCGTCGGTACGTCTACACACATGTCTATATCTTATGCATCTGTGTTTTATGTAACCTACATGTCTTACATGTGTTTATATGTGCATTGCCTTACTGTAATGTATAATATGCTTTGTCACATGGCAGACAGTGTTACTAAGCGCCTTATTTTCTGTTCCTCAGTTTCACCTCTTTATATCTTTGCAATAAAGACAAAGTTGGACGTTGCTTCTTTGTCAACTCATTGCCGAGAAAGGTTTAGCTGTCTGTCAAGCTATGTACCTTCACACATAAGGAGGACAGAACAGTGAAACGACGGCTTCTTACAAGCTGGATACGAGGACTGCGACTCCTGAAGTCCTGACTGCAGTGAAACGACGGCTTCTTACAAGCTGGATACGAGGACTGCGACTCCTGAAGTCCTGACTGCAGTGAAACGACGGCTTCTTACAAGCTGGATACGAGGACTGCGACTCCTGAAGTCCTGACTGCAGTGAAACGACGGCTTCTTACAAGCTGGATACGAGGACTGCGACTCCTGAAGTCCTGACTGCAGCGAAACGGTGGCTTCTCACAAGCTGGATAGGAGGAACTACGCAGCATCGCCACCCGCAGCGGTTGCAAGTGTGCTAACCCGTTCACAGCATCATCATGTCAGCAAGGGAATCCGGACAGTTCGAGACAAGGTCTCGCATCTCAGTTTAACTCCAGAGGCTCAGGGAGATCTTTGAGCAGCTCCACCGTCGCCATTGCCCGCGCGAAGGCCGAGGCCGCCAAAACCCGCGCGACATTTGCCGAACAAGAAAGACAATTAAAAATAGAGAAAGCATGCACGGAAGCAGCTCTAGAAAAGCTAACTGTGGAAAAAGAAGCTGCAGCTGCTGTAGCAGAAGCAGAGGCTTTAGAGGAAGCAGCAAACTTCACAAGCGATAGACTCAGCTACATAAGTAGGCCCGAACCCAGTCTTCACAATAACTCGCAACGCACTTCAGATTACGTACTGCAACATGCTAAGTCAGAAGACGGCCCTAAATCCAGGTCCAAGAGCGACATCAACCCCTGCTAAGGAGCTCCAACAGACTCCAGTCATACAACAAGCGACCTCAGTTAACCAAAGACCCTGCATGGAACAAGTCGACGGTTCCGTAGGACATCAACCCTCAATGCAACCTGCATTCAAACCCACAAATGATCGCAGTATGGTCAAACCCTTTAAGGAAGAACAAGTAGATGGTGCCTATTACAGCAACAATCTGTCAAACAGAGATACAGGTATGTCAGATTTTCTAAAATTCTTTGCCCGACGTGAGTTAATAACCAAGGGACTCTCCAAGTATAATGACAGACCTGAAAGCTATAGGTCATGGCGATCATCATTCAGGAATAATATCAGTGATCTGTTAACAGAGCTACAAGTTGCCAAAACTGAAGGAGACTTACAAGTCTGGCATTCTTAGATACTGCACGTGGTGTAAACCCCATAGTACAAAAATTACCGTACAACCTGCAAGAGAAGTGGATTGCTCAAGGCTCCAGGTACAAGCAACAGTACGATGTCTCGTTCCCTCCATTCTCTTTCTTTATGGACTTCGTGCACCAACAAGCAAAAACTAGGAATGATCCCAGCTTTAACTTCTCGATGTTTGACACCGCTTACCCCCCAAATCAGGTAAACCTATCTCACTTCGTAACATGAAAGGTACACCGGTTGCAGTACACAAAACCAGTGTGTCTCTTAAAGACTCCTCAAACAAAACCTACAGTACTACAGAGTCTGAGACGATCTCCACAAAGGACCCATGCAGAGAATGTCCTCTACATAAGAAACCACACTCATTGTTGAAATGCAGAGGATTTAGAGGAAAACTTCTCAGGGATCGCAGAACTTTCCTCAAGGAAAACCGCATTTGCTACAGGTGTTGTGCCTCAACCTCTCATCTTGCAAAGGACTGCACAGCGAACATCAAATGCTCGGAATGCAACAGTGAAGCGCACAATACAGCTTTACCCTGGGCCAGCCCCATGGACTCTCACACCCCCAGACCAGGCTGTAGAGCACGGCGGGGAGGAGGGAGACACAGTACCTCCTGAAGTGACACCCCAGTGCACCCAAGTCTGTGGAGAAGGTCTTAGTAACAAATCTTGCTCCAAGATTTGTCTTGTTACAGTTTACCCATTCCCCATCGGTCATAAAGAGAAAGCGGTAAGGTTGTATGCCATCCTTGATGACCAAAGCAATAGATCTCTTGCAAACTCAGCCTTCTTTGATATCTTCAGTATTAAAGGACACTGCTCTTCATATTCACTTAAAACTTGCGCTGGTGTGAGTGAAGAAAAAGGCAGAAGAGCTACTGGTTTCCAAGTCGAATCCATAAATAGTGAAGCATCCCTGCAACTACCTACCTTGATTGAATGCAATCAGATCCCAAACAATAGAGAAGAGATTCCTACACCTGAGGCAGCATTACATCATGAAACATTTAAAGACCATAGCGCATCTCATACCTGCACTCGACCCAAAGGCCCAATAGTACTTCTCCTTGGGAGAGATATCATAAGAGTCCACAAGGTAAGAAAACAAATAAATGGTCCTCATAGTTCTCCATATGCTCAGAAGCTTGACCTGGGGTGGGTCATCATAGGTGATGTTTGCCTAGGAAATGTTCACAAGCCAACCACAGTGAATTCTCTTTACACAAATACCTTGGAGAATGGACGTCCATCCCTCTTTCAGCCTTGTCCTAACAGATTCCTTCTAAGAGAGAAGCCGGCAAGTGTGCTATATCCTGACTTTACAGAAACCGAGAACCACTCTTGCAGTGAAGACCAAGATCACTTGGGGTGCACGGTGTTCCAGAGGACAAAGGAAGACCACAAGATAGCTCCCTCTATTGAAGATGAGGCCTTCTTGGGCATAATGCAACAAGGATTCTTCAAGGATAAAACAAACACCTGGGTTGCACCACTACCTTTCAAAACACAGAGACGTCATCTTCCTAACAACAGGTATCAAGCCTTAAAACGCTTCTGTTCACTTAGACGCAACTTTCAGAAAAGACCAGAGATGATGGAACATTTCTTCTTATTCATGAAAAAGATGTTTGAGAACAATCATGCAGAAGTAGCTCCACCCCTAAAAGAAAAAAGAAGAATGCTGGTATCTACCAATCTTCGGCGTTTACCACCCTAAGAAGCCAGGACGAATCCGAGTGGTATTTGACTCCAGTTCACAGTATGAGGGAGTCTCTCTCAATGATGTCCTTTTGACAGGACCAGACCTCAATAACACACTTCTCGGTGTCCTCATCAGATTCCGCAAAGAACCCATCGCTATAGTTGCCGACATACAACAAATGTTCTATTGTTTCCTAGTAAAAGAAGAGCACAGGAACTTCTTGAGATTTCTTTGGTTCAAGGACAATGACCCTACTCAAGACATCATAGAATATCGCATGAAGGTGCATGTTTTTGGCAACAGCCCATCTCCAGCTGTCGCTATTTATGGACTCAGACTCTCTGCTCAAGAAGGTGAAAAAGACTATGGGAAAGACGTTAAGAAGTTTGTTGAAAGAGACTTCTATGTAGATGATGGCTTAAAGTCGCTTCCCTCACCAGAGGCTGCAATCAGTCTACTCAAAAGGACCCAGAGTATGCTTTCCTGTTCAAACCTCAGACTTCATAAGATAGCCTCAAACAGCAAAGTTGTTATGGAAGCCTTCTCTACTCAAGATCATGCCAGTGATTTGAAAGATCTAGACTTAGCGACAGACCCGATACCCATGCAGCGCAGCCTAGGGCTCAGCTGGGACCTCAAATCTGACACCTTTACCTTTCAGGTCGACCAAGAGCAAAAGCCTTTCACACGACGTGGAGTGTTATCTACCATTAACAGTCTATATGATCCACTTGGATTTGCAGCTCCTGTGATCATCCAAGGTAAGACTCTGCTCAGAGAGTTAACCACAGATACGTGTGATTGGGATTCGCCACTTCCCTCAGAGAAAGAAGCACTATGGAAGCATGGAGAAACTCTCTACAGGCATTATCTAACTTACATATCTATAGGCCATATGCCCACTTCTCCCCTGCAGAAGTTCAGTCTAGGCAGCTGTGCATATATTTTG